CAGGCCGCTGGCTCAGGGCCAGGTGTCAGCTGTTCCGTGCCGCCCGCGGGTCCCAGGTGCTGTGTGTGTGATGGCGTAAATGTGTGTATTGTGTTGTCATAACCGTTCAGTGTCCCCGACTTTCAGCCACGTAGGCAAGCCCAGCTCAGTCCCAGGGGAGAAGGGGACGGGGCGGGGGGGTGCCGTGCCCGCGCTGGATGCAGTCCCTCTGGCGAGACCCGGAGCCCCACCCCGCGCTGCAGGAGCAGGTGCAGCGATTGGAAATCTGCCCAGAACAGCGAGGGTTCCCGCCGTCAGGTGCAGGCCCTACTCGGACCGACCGTTGGTGTCTTATCAGCTCCGGGCTTTCCCGTGGGAAGGGAGCAGGCATTTACCCGCTGCCTTATCGGCAGGCACTTGGGGTGAAAGGGGGCTCGGCGACCCCCTATGCCCCCCACCCACCCCGAGTGGGCGCGTCCGGGGCAGGAGGCCGCGTGTTCTGCGGACGGTCGCTAAGTGAAACTCGGTGCTTATCTTTCCCTCTCTCTGTGGTGCTATCTGTCTCGAGATCCTGAAGGCGACACGGGCCTGGCCGGGCCTCCCTCCCCCACCGTCCTCCACAGTCCGGGTTTCTACCAAGGACGCCGCGATAAGTGCCGTCCCTCCCTTCCCGCGGGGCCCCGAGGCGCACCCCCCAAGACCTGTGACCCCGTCCGGTTGTGTCCTGTGATTTGAAAACACACGCAGAGCGAGAGGCTCCCGCCTCGTCTGCGGGGTCCCCGTAGCAGATGGTCCTCGGTCCCGAATGTCTGGTGCTAATTTCTGTGGTCGCTAATCCCCGGGAGCGGCTCGGTGGGCCCGGTGCTGCCCGCGGGCTCCCCACACGGGGACACACGGGCGATGAACTTTGTGAGTCCGCACAGGGCGGCCATCCTCGACCCGCCCCGCCCGTCCACGCGTGGTTCCGGCTCAGGAAGCCACGGCAAGGCCGCCAGAAACCGACCACCACCCGCGAGGATTTCCCGATCGCCCGTGGAAATCCGTCCTGCTCCTGCCAGAGAGAAGCCGCTTCCAGCGACTGTCGGACCCGGCACACGGCCATGACTGTCCCCTCTGTCCGTCCCTCCGCGGAAAAGCCGTGCCCCAGGCCGCCGTGCGCACCCCAGGGGCTCTCCAGGTCATGTGATTCCGGTTTGATTTCTCGTCCACCCTCCTTCCCTCCTGTCACTTCCTCCCTCCATTGGCCAACCTTCCAAGCTGTAATTTGTGCCGAAGTCAAATGTGCCCGTCCCCCCAGACCACGTAGCCGCGGTATATGCAATAAAAGTACTTCTATATTTGCAGAAGGTCTGTCGGCGTCACGTTATTCTCTTCCCTCCTAATCTGTGTAACTGGACATACGCGGAGGGAGAGAACTATCAGGAAACAGGAAACCTGTGGTGTAAACGCTCACCCATGATCCCAGCCGGTCTCTGCTGAATTGGCTCAGGCAGGACCGGCAGCCCGGGCCCCGTGATTGTCCGTTACATGCACTCACCTCGGTGGCTAATATGTAACTTGTAGGTGAACAACACCTTTGAATAAAATCCCAGGAACTGGCTTCACAGGAAGCCCTTCCCGCTCCCAGGGGCCCCGGCCCACAGGTGAGCTGACGTTCAGCCACCAAACCAGACACAGAGAGCACGCTGGACGCCACTGACCGGCAAGATGACCGGGACATTCTGGGAGTTCAGCTCCCTCCCCTGATCTCTGCTCTGTGTCCCCCTCCCTCCTATAGAGACCCCCCCCCCCCCGGGTCCAGAACCAACTCTCAGGCCCCTGGTGCCAAGGACAAGAAATGGGCCCGATGGGACCTCCATCCTGGGTCACGTCGGCCTGGAGGTCACACCTGGACGGGGACAGGGGCCCCACCTGCCTCCTCCCTCTCTATCCAGGTGGGGCTTTGAGATTCAGCGACCCGCTCCCAGGGCGGGAGAGGCGTGGACAGGGCCCGTGCTGCCCGTCCCTGCTGGGGCTGCGCCGCTGTCACACGGCCCCAGGGACAATTCAGTGCCACCTCCCCACTCTCCAGTCAGGCAGCTGCTGCCCCAGTCCAGCTCCCAGTCCTGCCTCTGCAGGGCAGTCAACACCTCCCCTCCCCTCCCCTCTGACCACCCTGGACCCCAGGGAGTCTCTCACCCTCTGGAACCCGCAGCCCATTGCATGCCAGTGAGTTCCTGCCACCCCGGCCACCCCTGCCGTCCTGGGGGTCCCTCCGGGGGGTTCCCCTGGGCAGAGCTGGGTGATGAGAGGGGGCTCCTGTGCTTTCTCTAAAGACACAAGCAGGCAGGCCTGGCCGGTGTGGCTCAGTGGATAGAGTGCCAGCCTGCGGACAGAAGGGTCCCAGGTTCCATCCCGGTCAAGGGCACACGGGCGGGTTGGGGGCTGGATCCCAGGGCGGGTGTGATTCTCTCATTGGGTGTTTCTAGCTCTCTCCTTCCTTTCGTCTCCAAAGTCAATAAAAATACATCTTTAATAAAAATAATAAAGACACACGCAGACCCTCCCCACACAGCCCTCCCCTCGCGGAGCATCTGGTCCCACTGAGGAGAAGGGGGGCCACTGCAGAGGGAGGGCTGAGGGCGTGGTGGGGGGACCGTCCCCTGGGGCTGGGGAGGAGGTGGCCTGGCCAGGAGGGAACTAGAGCGGAGGCGGGGCTCACGCAGCAATAAAAGGTGCCAGCGCCTTGGCAGCGGGACCCGGGATGCCACCAACCAGAGCAGCCGCTGCCATGGGAACCGTGGTCCTGGCCCTCGCCCTCCTGGGCACTGCAGCCGCCACGGCCGACAACTGTCCAGGTGAGCCAGGCGCCCGGCGGGCCGGCCTGACCAAGGTCCCAGAGCCGACGGCCTCCGCCCAGACCACTGCATGCCCCCTGCCGGGTCCTTCAAGAACATTCTTCTTCAGACTGAGGCTTAACCACCCTCTGCAGGGGCACCTGCCTCGGGGTCCTCCCACGAGGGGCACAGGTGGTGTGAGGGGGGAGGCAGGAGAGCGCCCCTCCCCCAGCCCGGGTCAGTGCAAAGTCTCACCCAGTTCTGGGGGCCTTGAGACTCGGGGGACAGGCAGCCCCACTGCTCCCCGAGGTGGCAGAGCAAGAGGGCAAGGGTCCCACGGTCCCCAGGGGCCCGACCTCCTTCCCTGGCCCAGAAGCTCTCCAGGGGCTGCCAGCCCTCCCTCCGGAGTCTCTGGCTGTGGGCGGGGCTGGGACCAAGGACCAGGTGCCACCTCCCAGGGCCCCGGGGCCTGCGGTGCGGCCTGTGAGGAGGTGGGAGAGAGCATGTCCCCTGTGACGGGAGAAAGGCCGCTGAGTCGAGAGGAAGGACACACGGGCCTCACGGGGAACGTCACGCTGAGTCCATGTTCTCCCCTCATGGTGTCCTATTTTCTTACTTTTAAAACAAAAGGATTTAAAAAATTTATTCATTTGCCAGAGAGAGAGGGAGGGAGAGACGTGGATTTGCTGTTCGCGTTGCTCGCGCCCTGATGGGGATCCGCCCACAGTCTCAGCACCTGGATGGCGCTCTGACCGGCCAGGCTCCTCCATGGCCTCTCATTGTCCCCGACCCCCAGGTGCCCTGTTGTTAATGAGCAGAAATT